CTCTTAGGAAAAAAAGATTAATTTTTCCTTGAAATGTTTGGTCAGAGGCTTCACTGACAACGTAAGTCATGTTGTTCCAACACACTAAGTACTTGCACTCACTGTGCAGAAAATGTCTTGGATCTTGCAGCAGCCAGGAGCAGAGCAGCATGAGCCTTCTGGGAAATGAATGGGACTAAGGGAACTGGCTTGGATAGCCTCTTTGACCCTAAAAGCATCCCAGGGACCAAAGAGGTCAGGAGAAGTACAGTCACCAGATCACAGCTGCTATCCAGCCCTCTTATTTCTGTAATTAAAAGAACATCTCTGACTTGATCAGCTTCCTTAGCAATTGAGTTCTTCACTTAGCAAGTGGCAAGTTTTATACTTGGGACAAAACAATCTGACATGAAATTAAGATTTTGAAACATTTGACATTAATCAATGCCATGTTTCATATTATTTCCATAGAATGGAAATCAACAGAAAATTGGAAGCATTTACTGGCATAGTTACATATCATCTAAACTGGACACATCAAGTTTAATGGTTTAATGACATTTTCTTAAAATGGTGTTTGCAGACTTGGATTTTCTGACAAGATTGTTTATTAAAGAGTAAATAATGGAACTGCATGTTAATCACTTGGCCACTGACTCATAATTTTTTCATGGTAATTAATACTTAGAATTCCCCCCACTAGGAAAAGAATATATTAACATGATAAGGAGTCCTGTCTAACACATTTACTTTCATGTTCCAGAGATGCCACTGGGCAGCCTTGTATTCAAGTACCAATAACGCTAAAAATTCAGATCAGGGAAGATAACAGTGCAACCTTCCAGAGGACTTGATCTGGACAGTGTCACTGGTGACATTTTATTCAGAACCATCAGCAAGAGAAGTTACTTTACCAAAAATGTGTTTGACGTGAAATCAAACATTTTATATAGTAGCAGATATAAAAGATTTAAATCAGCAAGGTACCAAATACTGCTAAATAACTCGAAGGTGTGTGGAGAAAGTCATTTTCTTTGATGTAACTTTAACTGAATAGAAGAACTTACATTTGTGCAATCAACCTCTGTGCTGGGTCATCCCTTCAATGTATGTGGTCTGGATACCAGAACAGTGGGTTTAACAAGTGTTACTCAGATGAGAGAATCCAGGATATCCTGTTAAGTTTTCATACCAATGATTATGACAGGTGATAATTGCCATTTCTTAATATTTACTGAAAGTAGTGCTGTGAATTAGCCCTACAAAAAAAACACTGGGCATTTCTTTCCAAACACTTTAATCCAATGCTTGGATTTAGGAGGGTTATTTTCTAAAGCATTAAAGCCATTTTTTTTTCTCAGTAGCAATAATTGGGATACAGTTTCTTCCTACTATAGTAAAGTTATGTTGCAGGGCTTAGCCGTGGTAAAGTTTAAAAAAATAGCATCTGCCTTCTGTAATGTGCCTTTTTCATCAGCAAACCTTGAAAAAAGCCTTTAAAAATATGCTTTTGGAAATTATTGGGATGTCAGTTAAAATAATCTGTAGTATTTTCGATATTGCATTTGAGCTAATGATAAGACTGAGAATCATGAAAGCTGAGTTCTAGATCTACAAATGAATGTGCCTGATCATGGGCTAATTTTGGTCCCCAGCTTAAGACACATTAAGGACAACAACATATTTGGAAGTGTGGAGTAGTAATAGTTTTTTTTGAAAAAGAATATTTATTTATAAACCTTGAAATCTTTATTTACTCTTAAAAATCTCAAGCAGCACTTTGATTTTTCCACAGTCTGTTGTGACAAAAACATTTATTTAATAGGCACTGAACATTTTGCAAGTGGCTTTGGTAATTGCAATGAGCCCTTCCCTTTAAGCTTACTTTGAAGTAACTTCTAATTTCAAAGGGAACTGGACACGTAAATCCCTTTACAGCAGTTTCAAAGCTCCCTACAGAAATGTTCAAGTGGTGAGAATTTTTGGCTCAGTGTTTCTGCTGCAGGGCTGTGTCAAACTAGAAGACCCTTATATTACCCACTGATTGTTCTGGCATAGCACAGAGAATGCAATATGGTAAATAATGAAAGGTTCCAATTTTCCACTGCCTCTTTTAGTCTTTTATATCTGCACAGAAGAAACTTGACACTTTATTATTCTAACTCAGTAACTTTTGACATCCACCTAGAGAAGACACAAGTGGCAAAGCCCAAGTCAGTACAGTCAGTGCAGAATGAACCAGCTCCAGAAGTGCCCTTCCTCTCTTCTTCCTTAGGATTTTTCACCCAGATTCAAAGGTGGATCTGTTGGTTATCCTCAGAAACTTTGCTATTTATTCTATTTATCATTGGAGAGTTGCATAATTATTAATAAATTCTGGTGACAGAATACTATTTGTAAGCAAAAAGAAATACATTGTAATTTTCCTAATTTGCATGGGAGCAATCTTGCTGCATGTAAAACTGCAAGCATCCATTCAGAGATATTGTTAATCACTGAATGATACAAAGCTGCCTTCAGAGATGCTCTTCTGAGAATAACTGTTTATTTTACACCAGAATCCAGTATATAGTGCATATCAAAACAAGTAATACCCAAAATTCTACTTACTATTGGATTACAATACCCAAGCTTCCAGTAGTAAAATTATGTTGTCAGAATGAACTGGGTCAGCAACTCTTCTCACAGCGAGACAAATTCTACAGGTTAAAATACTGACAAAATTCACCATTCTCCACAAAAAAGAAATGTATTGATCTTTGCTTTCAGGAACCTAAAGTTAATTACTTTCCTGAAGATTCCTACTGGGGTAAAAAAACAAGGATCACTTATAATTTATCTGAAGAGAGAAAAGGCTGACATATCTGCTAACCATGAAATTTGACTTGCACTTCCTTACAGAAAGAGGAAAACATGGATCTTTTCTCCTGAAAACCATTTATAAAAGTGACAGAGAGTATATACCTTCTGTACCCCATAGAGTATATACTGTTGTGACTGAATTCACTATCCAAAATTCGGAATTCATTCAGTGGCAGTTTTAGGAATTTTTGTTCTCTATTTCTTCAATACCGTTCCGTACACTCTACTTGCCGTTAGGACTGTTGGTGACTTGACATGGCAACAAAGGTTAGAAGGGATTAGAGTAAAAATGTATCTCCTTATTAGATTGGGACATCTTAATTCACAGCCATTCTCTATTAACCCTCTTTTCAAGAGAAATACAGTGAAGATGCACAAATTTCTGACTTGTTAAGCCCATCCTCTTTCAGGTAAGAAAATTTACAATCTCTACATCTGATAAGGATTTCAGTATAAATTGAAACTGGATCAGTTTTGTGTATTTTGCCCCTGACAAATGTACAAATAAAACACTCAGGCAGACAAATACCCACTCTCCTCAGGGACTGAGATGTTAAAAATCACCTGTGAAATCTCTGCAGCCAAATCCTTTTAAAATTAAATATATATTTTTCAAAAGTTTTCCAAAAATTCTTCCAAAGCCCAGTTTCCTAACATTCTCTCTGGTTACCTTGATCTTTTCTGTGCAACAGGAAAGATGGTTTATAGGCATTTTGAAAGAGCTTATGAGAAGTTCAAGAACTTGAAACACTGGTATAACATGCTATGGAGCAACCTTAAGAAAACCATTCCCCATTATTTCAACCTTCTTTTCCCAATCATTTCTGCAGCCAGAGTAGCAAGCTTCTGTTTTGCTACCTATGTCCAATTTCCACTAAAATCAAAAGCAAAACAAGCAGGATGTGGATCAGGTCATACATCTGCATATTTAGACTGAATTTCCAACTTACACTTTCCCCTGGGAAAGCTGCAATTGATAACACTGCTGGCAGGATCAGAGGAAATGTGTGTGTTTGTGTGCATAGAAAACACTATTCAAAACACTATCCCGTGGAGATTTAAACAGCTTTAATATTTTCCTTTCTATTGATGTTCAAGAACAAAATGATTGTTCCTAATTGCTATCATTTACAGCATTTGAAGCTCAGATGCAGAAGTGGAGCATGTCAGCGTGACCCTTCCCACACCTCCACTCATTAGTGGCTGGAGTGAGAGTTATAATACTCAGCCAGCAACTCAAAAATAGCTGTAGCACAGGGCATAGATCTATGTAAGTGACAATTTCAGAAGCACAGTTATTACCTGTGATCATCAATTAGTACAAAACTGCACTGGGTCCTGCTGAAAGCAGCTGAAACCCTTCATGCGGGAAGATCAGATCATAGCTTTTTATTTTTTGACAGAGCTGGATAAAATATTTCATGTTTTCATTAAACCATGTCTACATTTTTTTAGGGACTCACATGGTGGACATCTTAGATAAACAACTTTCAAAGTCCAGTTTTGATTTAAGAGATATTTGTATCCCCTGTCCACCTAATTTCAAAAATAGTAGTGGTATTAGGAATTTCTAAACTGACATTAATGTGCTGCCTTTACCATTTAAAGTTTCCTCTTAATCAAATGCATGTTTGCAGAGTCACAAACATGGGAATTTATAGCTAACTTGTTATTTCAGAAAGCATTAAAAGCAAGTTAAGCGTTTGGGCTTAAAACAAAGAATGCAAAATTCCCCAAACCACTCCATGGTCATGGAAAAAAAGGACAGATTATGCTACAGCACATTTCAGCCAAGATGCCTTGCCTACCAGTGGTAAAACGCTATATTGTCTACACAGGACACAACACGACTTGAAGCAAACTACTCGAGTATTTCTGTGCTTTTTGGGAGGCAGCCAAAAATAAATTGGTGTCACAAGTTTATTGCACCATTATGAAAAACTGAGAGCAGAGCGGGCTTGGTTTGAACTCACAGTTTCAGCTCTTACTTCTAATCCCCACATGGCAAAACCTCATTTCATGTGACTTATGTGCAAGGGCTAAAGAAACAGCACAAGCTTCTGATACTGTGTCTGCATACAGAAGGGAATGACCACAGAATCCCAAAGCACTTTTCTGTTTCCACTGAAAAGAAATCAGTCCAAATCCAGGTCACTTACTCTCTGTTGGCAGCACCGGGGGAAGTGTGGTCTTAGGTTTCTTGGTCTTCTTGTCAGTAGGCTTTGAGGTCTTTGAGGCATCTGCAATCAAAACAAATAATAAAATACAAACCCTATTTAAAAATTAATAATGAAAAAGCTGTCTAATAAAATGTTTGTTTTGGATCTTTCTGCAAAGTTAGAGGAAATTGCTGTCCTTTAGGTTTTTAAGAAAGATTTTCTGCACAGATTTGCTCATGAATGTCACATTCTGAAAGGAAGAAGGAGTAGAGAGGGAGAAGCCCTATATGAAAGCAGCTGCACTGAGAACCCAAGAAAGCAGCTAGACAAGAGCTGCCATCTAAGCTGATAGGTCTGTTTTAGCTGAATAGGACAAAGTACAATGTGCACAAAGCTGCATTAGGCAGTGCAGGGGAAAGGGAAACATCATTTCTTCCAAAACAATCCCTTGCCATGCAATTCTTCTATTCCATTGTCTATATAATCTATACCTATTTACCCATTTGGAGAAGTAGCATTTCCTCCATATGTTTAAATCTTTCTAAGAAAATACTGTTACACGTTAGTTCATTCCTAAATAAAAATGGCAAAAAGGCATCACAGGACTGAGGTTTGATGGTTTTTATTATTTTCACAATTGCACAGCTCATATCCAGAAACTGGCTCATCACTGCAGGCTACACTGACACTTAAGAGAGACAATAAAGCTCCCTTCCACGTGTCTCCCTTATGACATGGACACATTAATAGAAGGTGCAACTGTTTTTCAGCAAGGCTATTCCAGGTTGAGCACAATCAGAAGGCTGGAGCACCTCTCCTACGAAGACAGACTGAGAGGGTTGGGGTTGTTCAGCCTGGAGAAGAGAAGGCTCTGGGGAGACTTGAAAGCCCCTTCCAGTACCTAAAGGGGCTACAGGAGAGCTGGAGAGGGACTTTTTACAGAGGTCTGTAGTGACAGTACAGATGGAAATGGCCTTAAGATGAAGGATGGAAGGTCAAATTTAGATATTAGGAAGAAAGTTTTTACTGTGAGGGTGATGAGGCACGGGAACAGGTTGCCCAAAGAGGTTGTCGTCTTCCTGGAGGTGTTCAAGACCAGGCTGGATGGGGCTTTGAGCAACCTGGTCTAGTGGAAGATGTCCCTGCCCATGGCAGGGGGTTGGAACAAGATGATCTTTAGGTCCCTTCCAACACAAACCATTCTAGTTTCTATGATTCTGTAATGCAAATCCTAACAAGCTTCACTTGATATTCAGCTTTCAGAGGATTTGTGAGTGAGAGAGCTGTTTGAAATTTGGTTACCAGAGAAAAGATGACATAAATGTTATGGAATCAGCTATTTCAGTCACCCACTTATAGGTACTAGAGCGTGAAAATTCATCTAAGTTTCCTAAAAAGTTAAAAAGGGAAGACAGAATCTCCTAACAAACAATTCAGAGCAGGAGGCTGTGTGAGATCTCAGTTCAGACACTTGGATTCCACAGATTTGACAACTGAAGTCAAACGTTCCTCCAATCTTACGTAAGTCCATGGTGCCAAAAGGAATATAATGATAATTATGGCTACTTGTTGAGTCTAAAAACCAGCATCTGGGATCCTAACAGCAGACTGAAGAAGGGAGAAATTTTAGTTGTTTTTTTAGATCACAATTCTAATTTAAAAATAACAGTCATCCCCTCTGCCAGTCAGACACAGGATATCAAATGGCGCCTTTCCTAAATAAGCTGGAGTTTGCTGTGGTGCCATTCCTCAAAAAACTCTTCTCAGTAGCATGCCAGGAGAGAATGAAAAAGACAGATGAGGCAGCCACTGTCAAGGTAAGGAATGTGGTCATTCTGGTGCCCAACATTATGTGAGCAATGAGCTCCTAATGCCATGGGTGCCACCACCACAGTGAGCCAGACAGCTGATGTCATGTCATTCGTATCATCAGGCAATGAATACGGCATGAGCTGACAGCCTCCCATGATCAAGATTTTGCAAGCCAAAGTCTACCTTGCAGCCTCCTAGAGCATGCATTGTCCAGCAGGAAACTGGAAGTGGGAAGTATGCTAAGGGAGGCTTCAGGAAGAAAAGAATGTACTTGAAGGAGATCAGACGACAAAGGAAAAATACGTAGGTGACTGAGATATTTAAAAGATGCTAAGGCAGCTCTAGAGAACTGCTGTATGCTAAGCACTTGATGATCTGATCCTTTACCACTCTGCATCTGTGGTAGTTAAGGTGTTGCAGGGTATGAGATTTTGCTTAAAGCATCTTGATAGTCTTCTTTGATCTTCAGCGCTGGTAAAATTTATTACTTTAAATTATAGAAATATAAACAATAGCTTATCAAATATCTAATACAGATTACGCTGTGACCATGGTATCACAGAAGGTGCCATTACAGGAGCCAACATAATTAATTGTAATTTTATGTCTAATCAACTCCCTTTTCAGCTACATGAAGACCGAACTTTAGTGAGGATTTGTGGGACCATATTCTTACCTCATGTCATGTAACATTAGGAAAACAAATAATAGTTTTCTTTTCTAGACCTCCTGCCCCAAATACCACATCTGCAACACAGTTGTGAGGGTTTAGTACCCAAGTTCTATATTATTAGGTTTGCTGTTTAGTTTTGTATTCTTTTTAGTCACAATGGAAAGTCTCAAAAGTATTTAAGGATGAGCTCACCAGAAGGTGAGCTGGTAAGAAGCACATTTGGTTACTTTAAGCCCCTTAAATAACTTAAACTCCATGGCAGTTTTACAAGTCTGAGTCTCACTCAACCTCACAATAAAATACTTGCCCAAGGCCAAGACTTTTTGGCAAGAGTAGAGTGTCATCAGCATGACCAAGGCTGAAAATGAGTACCTCCATGTTCCAAGACTATGGCATACAAGGATGGTTGAGCTGCTAATTTGTTTATTTTTGCTCACTTCCACTAGAAAACCAAATGACCAAACATCAGTGAATGCAAAGAATTGGAAAGTTCTAGGCCGAGAAACGTGCCCTACACAGTCCTGAGGCAGACTGATACCCAGGGTCTCACACTGAATTCTTACATGCTCTCAGAGGATACATTCAACTCAGAAACAAATCATACAGGTTCAACTGACTGCTCTAAAAACCTTGTAGTGATACAGTGGGCAGCAGGAGGATGTAGATTACTCCACAAAGCAACGAGAGCCCTTGGTTCTGTACTGTCTCTCTGCTCATGCCTCTTTATGGTAGACATTGAATTATCTATTGACCAAAAAGTGCAGAAGGGAAGGGGGCAGAGTTCTTTCTTTTTTGCGTAAGTGGTTCCTAAAGGCTGGTATTGGGAAATAAGGGAGGGGGAGGAGGAAGTTCTGAGGAAGGGTTTTCCTGTATCCAGCGCAATACTTACCTTCTACCACCACTTTGCAAGCACATTCAGCTTTTCCTGCTGAGTTCTCAGCTATACACTTGTATTCGCCCCCATCTTCAGGCATGGCCTTCTCAATGGTAAGTGAGCAGAGTGTCCCTGGTACAAAGGAGGGAGAGATCAAATGTTACATTGCAGTTCACAGAAACCTCAGTGCTATTAAGGAACAGAATGCATCAAGTGAGCCAATCCTTCACTACAGGTGATCTTCACTGCTAGAAAAACCTGTATTGGCCTTAAAAGTTTGACATAAAAATTGGAAGCTTATTAATGCTAAATAAATAAAACCACATTGATAGATAAATTGAATCTTATTGATGTTCCCTACGATACTCAAGGCTGTCCCTGCACCCCTGGACAAGTTAATGGATAAGGGTAGAGAATACCCAGAACAGCACCTCTGCTGCTCTCCTTTGTCTTATAGCACAAACCAGAAGTCCTCACTCAGATGATTTTTTCCAAAAATGCTAGTAGTTTAGGACTGTAAATAAAAGCATTACTGTCAAAGAGCCATGTGCAATATTTTGGTTCAGCCTTATCTCTACCAATCCCGTGAACATCCACATGTAAAAGTAGAACTTCAGCTTAGTGTCTAAGTTTAAAAATGCCACTGAGAGACATAGTCTTTTTACTTGAACTATTTAATAAATAAATGTCTGGTATTGTAAAGCATCCATTACAAAGCCCAATATATCAGTGGCAATCAAATTTGTCACTCTAACAAATCCAGTTCTTTTCAAATTAAAAAGCCAAATTTGACTTAATTGGGTTTGCAGAAACAGGATGCAACATAAGCTCCGTAGTTACCAAGGGAAGCTTGGTATGACCCAAGGGAAATACGTTTCCTCTTAAAAATTAAAACTCTGTGAACCAAAACAGAAGTTGTTCCCAGTAGGTGGGGGATGAGGAAGGGAAACCTAATCCCTTATGTTCACTTGCGTTGCTTGGAACAAAGAGGTACTTTCTTTCCCAGGGTGAACCCCAATTAAAATGCTCCATACTTTCCCCTTCCAAATATCCCCCATTAAGTGAGGGTGAATTGTGGACTTGCCTTCTCCTTCCTCACTGGAAAGCTGTGCCTGTCCACTAAACACAGCCAGAGACATTGTGCTCTTCTACCTTATCTACATCTACCCACTGCTGTTCCCTTGTCCAGAACACCTCCCACCTCCTCCACTTACCTCAGTTGCACTAAAACCTTCTCCCCTTCCTCCATTTACCTTTCTCACAGTCTCTCCTAATTAATGACAAGATTGAATAGTTGTTTGGTTTTTTGTTTTTCAGATACCTACCCTGGTCCCTGAGATCTAGGAAAATTTCCCAGCATCTCTACTTGCCACCTTTCTCTCTATGTTAACTGGAGGCTGCCTTCTACCCTTCCAGAGTGCTTGATCTCAGGTTCCCCATCAAATGTATCCCCCGTGATGTGAGAACCGGCAGAGGCACAGATGATACTGACCCATGAAAATGACCTTAAAAGGTCCTTGAAAAGAACTCCCCTCCATCAGAATAACTTGGGAGTTCACTGATTCCCCTTGGAGACAAACCCAGTTTTGATATAGCAATTATGTTTTTGGCATTGACATCTTCCCTCACTGTAAACCTAGATGTCCTTATTCAAGACAAATCTTATAAAAACACTCAAATGGTTCCCAACAAATCTGGTTTGGCAGAAACACACAAGGGTTGGAAGAAAATTATTTTCCCCCTCTTTATCATCCTCCACAAAATCAAGAAGCTCTAAATAATGACTATTTTCCCCCACAGAAATGATGCAAAAACTATCTCAGAAGAGGACCACTGACCCCTCACTCACATGTGCTGTGCTCAGCCAACCACAGAGTGAAAAGAAAATCCACGTGCCTTCCCTGAGGCAACACTTCTCCATGAGTCAAGCCAAAGCCAAAAATGTCACGAGCTGCAGTTCCATTCCAAATGGAGGAGAGACACTAGAAAAGTATTTTCACAGGCATCTAGCAAATATAAATTCACATGTCTCTGCTGTTTAAAGAGACAGTTGGAGAGCAAGCCAAAGATAGCTTCCAGTCTAAGAATTTGTATAAATATATGCAACGTGATTAGAAAAGTTTGCACATCAAAATCTAAAAATGCTATTGCAAAAGGACATAAACTATGGAACAAAGACACACATATGAAGGAGATGTCTGGCCACCTTCCTTCAGGAAAGGAGTCTGGCCTGTAAGGGCAAGTGAATCATGAAGGGACTGGAATAAAGCAGAATTTACTTTAGTTCCTGCTGGAGAAGCTAAGAAGCCCTTCCTAAGCTTATTGAAGACTAATGTGACAGAAGGTGATTCCTCACCACTCATACTGTAGTGCTGCCCATACAGGAGTATGAGTTAACACCTCAGGGGAAACACTTTGTTATGTGGCACATACAAAACAGAAACATCTCACCCTTACAATACGTCATTTCCCACAGTTATACCAAAATCTAGAAGCAAATCCTAGAGTTTTCTCATGATGATCTTCGACTTGCCATATGCACTCAGTGCTCTGCTGGTTTTGCTTTTAAAGTCTAGCTCTGGACAGTCTGTGTGGCAGAGGTCTTATCAGAGCTCCATTTGGCTTATTGCGCTGGGAGAAGAGTTCTCATGAAATAATGTCAGTTTTAGTCCTTCCAAAATAATATTTATATGTGCTGAACTTTAATAAAGTTATTTTGTGAGAATGAGGATGAAGGAAATCTGTTTCTTTCAAGGGCTGCATCCTTCTTCTGCTAACTTCCACCTCCCTGCACCAATAATCTGTATCCTATTTCCCTCCATGTCTTCGTTCTCCCCAGGAACTACACTGGAACAGCCCATGCAAAGTTCAAGGGGCATTGCTGGGCTTCTTGCTGCCACCAGATACAATCGTAGCAGCCCTCAGTGGAGGAGTGCAGGGAAAATGAGATAATTTGGATCATTCTCCCTTATTTAGCCACTAGTTTCACGAAATTTTAGACTACTAGGACTTGGTATGAAATTGGCCAAATGATCGAGAAGTACTGGCCGTGTTGGACTGGGAGTACAGGGGAAGGCTGAGAGAGAGCATGGCTGTACAAACCTCATTTTCTTAGAAAACCAGAAAAAAACCCCAACAGTGCAAAAAATGCAAAGCTTGGTGAGATATTATAAGGACAGGAAACTCCTCAACAGGCCTATGTTCTGTGATCTAGAGCTACAGTCAATTCCCGGGGCTAGAGGGCCAAATGTCTTTCAATGAAGTATTTGGTATTTCCTCTGCAAAACCCCTTCATGACCTGAAACAAGCTTATTTTCTCATAACTGCTAGAAAGCCCAGACTCGTTATCCCAGTTGGGTATTCTGAAATTCTGGCACTTCAAAAATCCCAGTCAAATAAAAATATTTGCTATCCATTTTGTCCCCCCGACCCTCTACATTTTTGAGAACCAGGCCAAAGACAATTTTTAAACACTGTCACAAAGTGCAGGATTGGACTAAACATGAGTGTTGGAATCTTCCAGTTAGACATTGGAACTGCTGCAGCTCTAGAAAAGATCTTAACACCACAGAAACTGAGAGTGTACTGGGGGCTCTGGTTTAGATACACAAAGCCTTTCCCTTGAATTTTGAGCTATTAAAGGATTCTCTGACTTACTCAAAAATAGTGCAAGGCAGTTTAAAATATCTCCAGGCTTCTGCATTCTTTCCATGAAACTCCACAAAAAGTCAACTTCAGATATAAAACAAATATACAAACCAACAAAAAACCAGCTCCTTAGTCTTGTTCCCTGCACTGGCATCTTGCTGGCCAACCTCCTGACTCCTATCTGTGATGCAGACTGAAATTTATGCCTTTTTATTTTGTATCCCAGGCAATAAAAAATTACTATGGAGTATTTAGGCAATATTAATAAACACTGCTCTATGAGAAATTGTGCCTAGGAGCCATAATAATTTTTAAAGAAACTCATTGGCTTATAGTGTTAATTTCCTAATAAATCTCAAATTGTCTGGGAAAGTGCTAATACGTGCTATATCACAGTCATGTTTAAAAATGGGAAGTGGGTTGACCTGGAAAATATTGACAACAGTTACGACAAAAGCAAAAACAGGGAAAAAACTTGTGACTTTCAGAGAAGAAAAAATGTCAAATGTAATTACTGCTAATTGATAGAGTTTTAAGGAAAACAACGTAAGAAACCTACTTTCATGATTCAATGAGATTAGACATTTAACTGGCAAATATGTTGTGTAAAGGTAATTTTCTTAATCTTTACTGAAATATTTGTGATATATCACATTATAGTGCTTGTAATTATTATATTAATGACATTGATTTAGGAAGAGTTAGAGCTGCCAAAATAAAGATCTCAAGAAGGTGACAATAGGAAATCACCACTCAGTCTGTTTCTAGTGGATCTCCTCTGTGATCAGACTAGAACCAAAGTTATTATGTATTTAATCTTTGATGTAGAAGTATTCATAAAATAACATTGATAAATTTACAGATGCTAGAAAGAATGTTGGAAAGGGAAAAGACAGAAAGAGAGAGAGAAAACAGGGCAGTCCTCATAAAAAATCGTTTACTTGTTAAGCTGAGTCCTATTCACCCAAGGAAAAAAGGGGCTTAAGATAGTGAAAAGAAACGCATCTATGGCAGCAAGGGATGCTGTATATTCCGGTTTTAAGGTTTTATAGAGAAGTACCAAACATGAGTTCCAATGTTGTGAGGTAAGAAAGAAGACCAATGACCTCCAGTAAACACAGCAGTAGGAAGGTGACCTCCATCTCACTGATGCTGATACCAGCATACGGTTCTGCTGCCTATTTTCTAAATAGGATAATAAACCAACAAACAGCAACTGGAGAGGAGATATAAAAAAAACCCCACCAAAATAAAACAACTCTAAGTCTCCAAGGGCTCAGTGAAGTGCATCATGGAGAGAAAGTCAGTAAGAACTTAACTTTTCAAGTTTCAAAAAGAACAGAGAGAGAGAGAGAGGTATCTTGGTCACAGAGTCAAAGCCATTCTATCCAGTTAAAAATAAGTAATTGCTTTGTTTCTTGATTTAAAAACAAAACTCTCACAAGAATAGTTAGACAGTACAATAAATTACCAGTGGCTATAGCAAACGTCTCTCTTATGCTGTATTAAAAACTACACTACATGTATTTCTGGAATAAGAAAGATTAAGACAAAAATGGCAGTGTAAAGAGAAATGTAGCACGTGGCACGTGACAAACATGGAGTTGAGTCAGAACTGATGCTCAGATGATCTTCCTAGCCTTAAACTTTCTGAAGAAGCTTTTTTTTAAGGTGCAAAATTCATCTACTTTCAGCAGTATATAGAGTTGTGTTAATTACACACCAAACTCCTACTCAAAGTTAATTAAAAAGAAAAAAAAATTCATGGCAGATCCTTGTTAGACTGGCAGACACAGACTTGCACAACTGATAGGAAGATTTAGGAGTTATGTTAAGTCACAAGAAAGTTGTTAAGGCATTATTGCTAATAAGATTACCAAATCTTTATGCTGCCAAGACACTTAGGAAGAAAAAAATGCTGTTTTAAAAAGGCAATGCAAAGTCAGGGCATTTTCTAAGCTACACCGTCACTGCTACCTCGGTGTTTATATTAGGCAGTTCTTCTTCAATCTGTATAGTCACATGGCACTTAATGTATCCAAAAAAAGCAAAACAAGCTGACTTAAAAAATGGCAAGTTTGCTTGTTTTGACTTGTTATTCACAGTGCATTTCAGTTGTCCAGTCTGGTACAGATGCTGGCTTGCAAAGCCCTTTTGCTCTTGTCTTATAGAACACTTTTTGTAACCATGCAACAAGTTTCTTGGTGGATTTTCTCTCCAAGAATGAGTCACACAGCAGGACACTATCACAGGGCACTGCTGTGCCAGTGCTATACAACTGTAAACCAAAATGGGTCCTGCTCTAAAGAGTTCATTGTGTGAGGAAACTTGTTCTATTCAGTCCTTATATGTCTAACTCCACTGTAAGGTCTGCTAGAGCCTTCTTAAAAACATTTTTCCAAGCAAAAATTCCCCCCATAACTTCAAACAAAGAACTCTCTCATATTAAAGTCAACTGTCTCTTAACCATGCACCACCTAACCCCTCTATAGAAATGCTCTAATTTATGAGAACCCTCTTTTGTTTGTTTGTTACTAACTAATATTTATTTTGATATTTCATTGGCAAAACCCACATTAATATCTATCCCAGGAATGTAGATAACTGAATTCTGGCAAGTTTAAAAGAAGAAAAACATAAAATCAAACCATTGACAAAATTGTACCATGTCAGACTTGTTTGTAAAAGAGAGGTGGTATAAGAGCTTTGTCATAAAAATGACACTTGAAGCAAAAAAATCACTCATGCCAATCAACTGACAAATACTATTTGGGGAGTTGTTAAAGGAAATAGAAAAACAAGTACTGATGTTCATGATTTCAAAAGGAAGCAAAGCCGTATTAATAGCTGAAATGTAAAATGGAAGGAATGGGACATGATTATTAGATATGTTGTGAATGTGACATTCAGTATAATGCTGCCCAGATTCTGACTTCAAATTGCTAATGTAAACTTAATCCTGGAATCATAGAATACATTGCAAGCCCTGGATTTACTACCAGAATACAGCACAAATACTGTATAAATATGCCTGAGGATGCAGGTCTTTTCTGGAGCAGGGTTTAGTTTTTCTTTTCCCAAAGGTCTCACCAATCAGAGATTATTCTGATCCTGGTGTTTGTATTCAGGCTTCTCCAATGGAGTAGAAGCAGGGCTAATACCCTCCCTTCTCCTGCACTCTAATGGCTAAACCACCTTGGACAGGCACTGCAAACACAGAGGAGACCTGTGAACAGCATTGTTTCTAACAGGTAAAGGGCCTTACTACCAGCCAGGACACACATTCCAAGGAAAGTTATTTTCAGTGAGTGACTGCATAATGGGACATAGTTTTGCACACTTTGCCTGTCCTGTGAACTTGTTTCATGCAAGTACACTTCTAAGTTTGACCTTCCTGGCCAAATATGACACTTGTTTAATCACCTGGGCATGTTCCTGAGACCAGATTTTATGTATTTATCTTTATAATATATTTGGCACCATGAGATGAACAAACTGCTGTCTCTTTTTGCCTTTTTTTTTTCTCTTCTCTCTTTGTGGGCCAGTGGCCCATACTAAGATAAGCTAGTAGTATGATAAGAAGCAGATAGACATGCCTTACTCTAGATACAGGATTTTCCAGTATCCAACTCACTGAAGAACAAGTAAGTTATTATTTTGTGAGATACCTCTGGAAAATCTGAAAAAAAAAACCCCTCTGTGGTCACCAAGAAACATCACGGCTGCACAAAACCAGGTGGTGAAATGGCTAAGAATGGACCAGCTCTGTCCTGTTCCATAGTGGATTTTGTTGCTGAACACAAGAGGAGCAAGATCATACCAAAGAAATAAAAAATGGCTTTGCAAGATCTAAATTCACCAAGGTGAGCTAGGGTCTGTTTGCTCTGAATCCCTCTGCTTCCCCAGAGACTCAACCTTCTTTCAGCTGAGGATGATTCTAGGGGATTATCTCCAGGGCCCATTAAATGCTGCCCCAAGGTTGGCCAAGGGCACTGCTGCTGAAGGACATGACACCTGTGGGTGTGACAAAGCTGCATGTTCAGTGTTTGGTGCAAAAGATGGAAACTGGGATTTTGGCTTTGGGCTGCTGAGTACTGCATCCATTTTTATTGTTGCTCTCTATGCTTGATGCTGCTTCAAACATTATCTATGAGACTAATCCATACAGTTTCCCTATTGAACAGTATTTCCTGATATTCATCCTGGATTTGTTATTTCTCAATTCTAGTCTGTAGCTCCAATTATTCCTTCTCCTCTCTTGGTTTCCTCAACTATGTATGTGTTCCTAATTAGGGAAAAAGCGAAAACTGAATCTCTGTGAAATCTGAAACTTACTTTAAGTAAGTATCATGCATACCTAGTTAATTACTTAACAGTTGGCATGAAAGCATCTTACAGTGGGAAAGCAGCAACTTCTCCAAGTGCCAGAGTTAGCAGGTACTGTCAGGAAAAAAAACACTAAATTGACCATCATGCAATGCACCTCCTCAGCATACCAGAGGGTAAGTAATAAGGTTTAAAAAAAATAGTTCTAATCCTCATTCCATTTCTTTCCATTAAAGGAGAAAACTTACTGCCCTGTGGAATATTTCTTTCTAAGATCCTCTGCAAATACATGCAAAAGAAAGCCCGACTTTGAAGCACTGATAACACTGACTACCTAAGCGTGATACAAGTGTAACAGTGCAGGCACAAGTAGAACATAAGGACAGTTTCTTCACTCCCTGCAAGAAGTTGTCCTGGAACAGTGGATTCCGTGTGCAGTGGTGACCTTTGTTCCCTACCCCAATGGCAAGCACTGCTAATGTGTGACACTCTGGACTGTTGTGCCCAAGAGTCACCTCGTCCAGACAAACTGGGTGGGATAGGTCACACACCCGGCTCAGGCAGGTAGCAGAGCATTCCTGTTACTTCATTGTAAACACAGCTACACTGGATTTTCAGCTCCACAGTACCATTTTATAGAGTGAATATGAATTAAGGGATTATAATGGTCAATTACTCAGATTATTTCAGTCAGGAAAACAGCTTTCTGCAGTACCATAACACTAAAGCTTTGGGATTTTAAAAGGCTCCACCATAGCTCAGAAGCTTTGATACAGACATTATGTCTATCTGATGTACTTTGATAGGAGACATGGAACTTTAGGACGCACAATTTCTTTTTCACTCTGAACAACTCCAAGAAAACTCTTGAAACCCTTACACCCCAGTGTAAGGCAGCTTAATTGGTTGATCCTGTCAGTCCTTTTTACAAGGACAGCGTTTCTACCAGTTAGCTTTTTCTCATGTACATGGCACTTAACCTTATCCTATACAGTCCCCTCTGGTGACAATCATCATCTACTTTTAAAAAAAATAAAATCATGTTACTTCAGACACATGCCAGACACAATGCACCTGCTACCATTTCCCTTTCTCCATCTAATTACTTTGGTATCCCCTAAATGTACTATTTGGGTACCCCCACTCTATCTGAAGGCAATGTTTCTTCTGATTGCATCCTCTTTAGAAGAATGCTTATGTGTCAGTGCTTGGAACACTGCATAAGGATTCACTGGTTGTGCTGAACCATTGTGCATATTAATTTGGTTCTCATTTGGTAACACTAAAAATAGTCTGGACTGAATGAAGAAAGATTCAAAACTAGTGCAGATTCAAAAGAGTGCAGACTCCTGTATGAAGCTATAATTCTTACTGTGAACATGAACTACAATATGCCAGACAGTGTCATTCTTCAGATAATTCCCTCAGTGTTTTATGAAACAAACATGAAGAAGGTTTTTTTGTGCTATCAGTTGTCCTCTCTATTTTTGTCCCAATAACAATTTATTTTGTCTAGATACAATATTAACTTTTGTAAAAAATACACTGGAAAGCAGGTCTCAACTCTGATCTTAACTATGTAACTTGAAGTTGTAGTAATTTCTTTCTATGACACAACCCCTCTTTGCTTCTGTGTTTCTCACTGCAATAAAAAGCCTGAAATATTAAACATACAGAAGAATTAAATTAGAATTTGTAAACCAGCAATAATATTATTATGTTTTCAATGTTCTAAATCCTTAAAGTTCAGTTTAAATAAGCATCATGTACCAGCTCCTTAAACAGCGTTAGCAATGTAAACAGCATTTAAAAATGCAAGAAGTTCAACTTTATAAAAATTACATCTGCAGGCTGTTAAAGGGGAATCTACAAGAAATGTCAAACAATACTGTTCCTTGTGTACTCCACTGACATAACAAGAAAGCTGCATCTGGAAAGAGTTACTGACACAGGACTTACATAAAGTATCACATTACCTTTAACAAACTAAATATTATTAATCAAGAGACAGATATAACAGTGTGCCATCCAGCTGGCTTATAATTCAATTAATTTACCTTCTTGGGAGATGACAATGGACTTCGATGACTTGATGGCTTTGCTGTCTAGAGTCCAGGTGACAGCTGCCGGGGGATCAGAGGAAATCCGACATTGTAAGACCAATTTCTCACCATCTGCAACTTGAGCATCCTGAAGCTTCTCTGTAAAGGAGGGTGCTGTTCCTTTGCTTGCTGGTGGTTTGCTTGCTGGTGCTTTGTTTTCAGCTTTTTTCCCAATTATTCCACCATCAACCACTGCACACCCATGCTCACAGTTTCTGTCGTTCTTCTCCTCTTTTTTTGCTGCTGGTTTGGCAATGGGGGCTTGAGAATTGGGGGTCGCGTTCTGGGCTTCAGAGTTGGCGCGGGCATTTGGTGCTGGGGTGCCAGCGCTGCCATTCTCCGCAGGTGGCTTTTTCTTTGAGCCCAGCACAGACCTGAAATCTGTAACAGCAGGTTTAGGAGGTGGCACCTTCTCTGGCAATGGGGTTTTTGGGGTGCCTTTCTTGGCCAGCACAGAGCGGAAGTCCACCTGCTGAGGACCATGGACTTTCCTCTCCTCCTCTGACAAGGTCTTGGGTTTGACCTGCCGCTGCAGGTTTGCTCGGAAGTCCATTTGCTCGGCTGGGATTTCCTTCAGTTCCTCCTCAGAAAAACTTTTGGTGCTGACTTTCTTGCCTAAAATGTCACGGAAATCAAGTTGCTCAGCTTCCTGCTGCCTCAGGCTTTCCTCTGTGTGTTCCCGAGTTTCCACTCGCCTTTTCAGCACACCTCGGACGTCTTCCTGCTCTTCTTCAGCTACTCTGATTGCACTGCTGTTCTTTTTGAAGCCACTTGTTCTACCAAATGTTAGTTTACCATGATCTCCACCATCTCTTTGCTCTCCAGAGCTGGCTGTTTCCCTCCCACTATGATCCGAAAAAGAAAAGAAAGAGAGAGCCAGGAAAGGGGCTGGTTTAAAAATGTCAGGGAACAATCTCAGAGCAGGAACAAAATGTGTTTATAGAAGGGGAGGTTGATTAGAGGAGCATACTCCATTAGTTTATTGCATCAATGATGACTTCAGGAGCCATATAAGGGCACAAACAAAAAAGATCTTCTCTACTCTGGCTTGGTGCAATGTGCTTAGCTTGTATGATGAAAACAATTTGTTGGGTCACATTTGGGGATTAGGTTGAACAGCAGCCAGCCTGGGTCTGTAAGGGCAGGGAATTAACGGAGCAAAAAATAGAACCCACCCATGCAAGTCCCTGGGAAAAATACTCACTCTCTGAGCATTTCTGCTGTGGAAGCTGAACTCTCCCGCAGCATCAGAGACACCTGGCAGCTGCATTCTCCAACTTGGTTCCTGAAATATTTAAGTGAAATCAGAAAAGCAGAGGTTTCTCCCTCTGTAACTTGCCTAAGTGATTGTGTATTGTACTAAAGCAGCTCAAACCCAGTGTGGCCTCCTGCTTTCCTATGCCCAGCATTGTGGTGGTGGACTGAGTGGATTTGGTCCCCTTATATTTGGAGCCAAGCTATCTCAAACAGCTTTTACTGATTTGTTGCTATCTGCACTGGGAACAGCATACTCCCTGAACAAAAATCAAAGCAATTTACAGCATGAAACAACTGCAAACAAATGAGCTAAAGGAAAATAAATACAAAAGCTGGAAAATCAAGTCAGAGGAAGGGGATATTTTGCAAAGCTGAAAATCTTTCCAACCATGCCTACTGTTTATTTATTCAAACCCAAGCCCTTAAGTTTTCTAATGTTAAGATATTAAAAGCAGGGTCTCATTTCCTTCCCTCCCCCCTGGCCCAACCAATCAGCAAAACCCATCTACATGGATTGCTCCAGCCTGTACATGTTTATATTAAAAAACATAAAAGTGTCACCATATATGGTGCTGAGTACTTATTCTTCCTTTTGCAGAGGAATACCACGGATGCCTTCTGGAAAGGGCTCCCATTAAAGAATTCATTTAAAGTGCTCCCCCCTCCCCTGCAGCTCCCTCCCTCCCGCAGATATATATCATTCTTCCAGCCCCAAACAGCTCTTCTCCGTTTAACACAGGAGATGCCAAAAGCAAAATTTAACTCCCCCAGGGCAGCAGTTGTGTAACTGTTGCCACCACTCCCCTGACTGCTATTAAAAACCCAGACTTGAACTGATTGAGGACTAGAGATCTCTTTTATTAGTGAAAATACTTCTGTCCTTCCCAGTTTAAGTATAAGCTTTTGAATGGACCACAAAGTCCTGGATGATTTTTCTTTTTCGAATAAAAATAATTCCTGCTACTGAAAACATTTCCTGGACATGAGCAAAACACATGTGTGTTGAGGGGGAGGAATGGAAGAGAGGCAGGTTTTCACAGCTGTGTTTTCCTTTAAAAAGACTTGCTAGATAAGAGCACCTTCAAGTTCACTTAGCTCTGAAGTTTAAAACATGGACTCAGGACTGCCTTTCTGTTGGCTTGCCATCAATATGTTGTCCTGCCTGTTTTTAAACTGCATGGAAATACATTCCTAGATATGTTATTGTTTGGGTGATAAAACTATAATTTCACCCATTTGTAACTTGCAGTAAAGACACACTGTAGGCAAGATCATTAACACAGATCACAGAATCACAGATGCAGCACAAAGTTTTGTCTTTATAACAGCAATTAGTGCCATCACCTTTTCAGAGAGATTTCTCTTGCTTTCTATTGTTTTAGAAAAAGAAACAGTGGATCAGCCTAATATGAAAATCAAGCCTTCAACACCACAAAGAAATTGGTGGGTTTGACCAAAGTAACTGGATTGCAAAGTAAAGGCCCTGCTGGTAGGAACATATCTTACTTGACCTTAAGACCATTAATATCAAGAAACCATAGAAATATTTCCAACGCTTTTATATCCAGTAAGTCAGAACATGTACACTAGAAATTATTATTGAAGGCAGTCCATGAGGACAGCAGTGAAAGCCACAACCCTTATTTCCTTCAGTACAAAAAACTAGATAACATCTGAGTACCAAACATAAATTGTCCAAATGGCAGGAGAGGATCCAAGTCAATGCAAAGAGTAGTTAACTGAGCCTCGTACTGGAGACCTGCCATTCTTACTTCCTCTTATGTGTGGCCTCCAGTTGGAAGCAAGAGAAGTAGAAAGAAGGCAAGACAAATGGAAAGATAAATAAAAAGAATAACATGTCATGTCCTCCCAACATACTGATTAGCATCCAATGATGGCAGGGTACCAACATTGCTGAAAACCTGTTGTCTTGAAACAATGCATTTCAAATTGTCCCCTGTCGCCACTATTGAAACTCATGGCTTTTTTTCCTGCTCCTCAGAAGCTTTTAAGAAAAGCAGATACATTCTGAAACTGCTCATTCACCAGTGCTGTAGTGCTGTTAGCAGGTTTTTGGTTTACCAGAAGATTCCTCCTGTTCAGGACTTAAAACCAATCCAAAACTGACAAAGGAGAAGCCATGCATGCTGAAGTATAGACAATTTACAGCATACATCAAATAATGAGGCACCACTGCTCAGCTTCTGTCATGACCATATGGCAAAAATATTTGCCCACAAGAATTGTGTCACCAGTGGGAGAGGTTAAAGTAACAGAGACAGCACTCTCCCAGGAGAGGGATTTAGGGATACTGGATGTGGTCCTGACCACTGTGAAGAATAACAGCATTTCTGCAGGACCCATTTCTGCAATGCATCCTTCCCTCTGCAAATTCTTCACTTATGCAAAGAAGCAAATAAGGAAAGCAAAGTAAACCCTTCTAAAGTAAGCTAAGTAAGCTATTTTTCACAGGGTTTGGAAAATAAAGGAGGGGGTAAGAAAGCCGGAGAGCATTTTGTTCTTTCTATTTTTAAAACCTTGGGAAGCACTTATAAATTACGGTAACGGTGGGACACACAAGTACCTAGATGGAAAAATTATTCACAAGGTAGTTTTTTGGTCTTAGTTATAATTTCCAATTCAAGTGAGTGGCTGTGATTCAAGTGAGTGACTAGACTACTGGATACAAACCTTGAATCTGTGTCTGATTCATCACATCCCTGTTCAAAAGTGTAGCCTCCTCAGGGCAAGTCCTGCTCCCACTGAAATCAAAGTGAGGATTTTAGGAGCAGAGAGAACATACTGTTGTCTTCTGAATTCAGTGGCAGAGTCTATAAAGGTAAGTTAAAAACATTGACCTACCTTGGAGATCACAAAATGGAAAAGGAGAAACAAGCCAAGAAAAATTAAGAAGGACTGGGGGTTTAGATGCTAAATTCAATCAAGAATAATTCTGGAAGCTTGGTAAATATTTTTACATTTATGCAATTTTGGAATCTAGGCAAGGCAGAGATGCATATGGGCACTTAGAAAAGACAGAGCTTTGCAGTACACAAGCACATCTTCAAGTCTTTCACGTCTCTGCTGTTTTGAATCTTGGCAATAAAAATATTACTTGTGCAGCTTGAGCTTCTCCATGTTGGCATTTTATCAGCAAAACCCTAGACACAGATAGATCTTAGTGTCTCTGTTATTCTGCAATAATGATAGACATGGATAAAACCTATGCTTAGGAGCTACGCTGCAAAGAAGTGCCTGGAAGTGTTGACTTTTGCAGGACTGTTCTGTAGAATACTCATGCACAGGACTTATCTTTAAAATGTCAAGGAATAATAATAATAATAAAAAACCCCACCAAAAACAAATAAAACCCCAGCTGCAAAGCCTGAAGCAGTTTTAAAAATAGCTCTCTGTCCTATTGTGGGATCAGTTTTCCCTGGAATGGCTTTTATGTTCAAAATATCTTGAAATACTAGTTTCTTGGCAGAATCTACTCAAATATTTTCACTGAACCTTAGATGAGACTTATTGTCTGCATGTCCCTAGGAAGCACTCTCTGGAGGAACAGGAAAAAAACACTTTTGAATATAGTTGGGGTACACAACAAAATTTCTTACCAGCCTACCAAGTGTGAAACAAATATTGCAGAGTAAATGATATTTTCTCAAGAATAAACTGATAAAGGGCAATGAAGTTGATCCCTAGTTATTGCTGGTGCTTCAGAGCAGGAAACTGCAAATCCTCAGTAGGAGGTTTTGCAACTTTTCTGTGAGTTAAATGGAGAGAAAGTCCAGACTCCACGAAGTTTTAACCCCAAAGAAAGCAACTAATCTACTGGATCACAACTCAGCTGACATAAAGCAGAGCAGCTCTACTGGCTTCAAAGAGGATGCTCACTTGAATGTTTTGCCAAAAGCTTTTTATACCTGAAAGACCAATCATTTTATTTGCATTTTACAGCACTGAGCGGGAGAATGGAATGAGAAGGGGTCACGGTTTTCTTTTCCAAAAATATACCGTGTGTTGGTAGCAGAAAACAAGGTTTGCAAACTGTATATTACAGAATGACAGAACTGTATTTACTGTTTAGTGTAACAAAATGTAATCTGACAACTGCTTTTTATATAACCTGAGTTGCAAAGTACTTGAGGTACCACTGATTTATAAAACAAATGTTTGCCTCTGATTTTAAGCAGATTATGCAAATCTCTAAACAAAGACTAATCAACACTAACCAAACCTTTATGGAAGATAGAGCGGGGGAGAAAAGAAATACTTAATGTCTGAGAAGACAAAGGTTAACAAAGCAAATGATTTGTTTAAGGAACTGCAGGAGGATTTGTGGGGTCTCTCATGTTGACTGTGCTGCTATAAAGGTTTTGCTCATCTAAGAGTCTCTGTCCAGTTCTCACAGTTTCTTTGCTTACATCTTCCTTTATGATGTACACACTGTGTGAAAGAACGTGGGGAAGTCACACTGGATATCAGCGCTTGCATCACTGGAAGGATGCATGGGACAGAAGGGGAAACAAATGTCTGTGTTCTTCTGAGTGAAAAAAAGCATTTCTATTTCCCATTTCAAGCATCTTGCAGGCTGTAAAATGTCCAAATTTCAATAGATGAACTGCAGTAGTGGGTGACTGTTCTTCTTTTTATATTTATGAAACACCAGACCTCTAGGCCTGAGACATAACAGGTTCAATGGACCATTATTAGGACAATTAAAGAGGAGAATGCAAATATTGAGGAATCAGAGGTTTGTGTAAATTTAAAACAAGGACCAGGAGAGGCTACAATGACTACTCTCCTAGAAGTCAGACGCAGCAGTCTGCTGAATAGTAAAAGGTAAACCAAAGATGTGTTCTAAGTAATGATATGGGTTGGTAAGACAGAAAGCCAATGAGCAATCATTGATGGATCACAGTAGGATCAACTAAGCTACATGTCCTTGTCACCTCACTGTGATGAAAGGAGAAAGAACTGCAAGAGACAAACACATCTTTTGTTAAACCCACATTTTTAAGACCAGAGTTTTAATTTGTGAGCAGCCAACACAAAAGGAGAATTGTGGAGGCATTAGAATAGAATTTATAACTTAAGAATAATGGAGAAGAAAATTGGAAAATAATTAACACTGGAGGAAACTATGCCCAGACTAAATTAATGGAGTTGGAGAAGGAGTGACTCCCTAAAAGCAGCTATGCAACATGCTTCTAAAATTAATACATGAAAAGGAGACTAACATTTTATTTGAAATGAAAATGATTATGTTTAAAAACAGTCTACTGTCAACTCCTCTATAAACTCTTCAGTGAATTGACTTGTGTTATTCCATATTTTTAATGGACTTTGTAGGAATTTTTAAGAGGAAGACACTAAATGCAGTTCTCCTCCTCTCAGGTACTGCTAAGACTGTTTCTGAATATATAAACACTTCTCAATCAAGTATCCAAGACACATGCAGCCAGTTTGACAGCTATTTAGACAAGACTATTTAGGTCTGAAAATTATTTTAGGTCTATTGCAAACTGGAAATTATACAGCTCACTTCTGGCTCCTTGGGTATTCCCGAGGCCATTACTTCTCTGTTACTCACAGTACATAAGCAGTTGCCTAAAAGCATGTGGCTTTCTGTTCCCTGAACAGTAACTGCAATTTTACAAATGACAGCAGGGCAAAACGAGGTACCAGCATTCCCCTTGCTCTAATTGCAGCAGAGCTTTGCTCATCATGGATTAGAAAAAGCCAACATGAACGCACTGATCTTTGTGGGATCTCCAGCTTTTTCTCCAGTAAAAGGATTAGGGAATAACTGAAACTAGCACGTAATCTGCTGTGTTGTTTTCTAGCTACATTGCTTTTTCTCACCCTCCCCCAAAAATTGTTCTCATATGCTGATTTTCTAAAATTATTTTCCAAGTGTACATTCTAGAGTCATGATATTGCCAGGCTTCCACTTTGAAAAATGACAAATGTGGCCTGGGTGATCACATGATCATTACAGCCACTTCCAACAAAGTCTTCCACAAAGCCCTCTTGTCTGTCCTTTGTTCTTCCTGTCCTCTCTCCTTTGTTCTTCCTGCCCTGTCTCTTTCTTCCATCCCCGAAGTTTTGCTGAAATATCTCTTTCAGTTCAAGTGAAACCACCAGCTTATCATAAGAGAAGATGCCAATGCCCAGGGCATACATGCACTGAAATGTGGAAAGGTACCAGTAGAAGGTCGCAGCTCTGCCAGTCTCTGCTCTCTCCTGCAGAGGTGACTGACCTTAATGAAACTCAACTGGCATTTCTTATCCCACCAGAGGTATTGAGATGTTCAAACACTGAGTGGTGTTAGAAACACCACTGATCCCCAAAGAGACATAGATGCAAGGATTTAGGTAGACATGACCTGCACAAATCAGCATCAGCAATGTCCTAGATCACCTGGGATGATTGCAAACAACGAAGTTGTTCTGAAATGAGCCAGTTCACAATTTATTACAGACTATAAAGGGCCTAAATCTACTGAACAGCTTGTTTGCAAGAAGGTCATGGCACATATGGCTCTACCTACATAAATGTTAGTAATAATACTTGAAATTAAGTGCAGAAATACTTCATCATAGGAAATCTTGATATTCAAGAGCTGTAATCTTCTAAAGCACCTTTTTCTGGTGAAAAGTGAGTGCCTCGTCTGACTTTAAATACTAAAATATACTGAAGCTCCTTTGTGTCTGCCTGTGGTAGTCTGTGAAAACACACCTTCAAACTAGGCAACTACACAGTGACATGTCCATCATTTGGGCCACACTGGTTGGAAAATAAACTATAGCTATAAAAAATAGCTCATTGTTTAGAGGCTAAATGGGTGGCATTTATTAAGAAATTCCCTCTCTCCTTGTGTTAAGGAGACAAGAGTAATTTATTTGCAAGCAGGCAAAGGACAATTCAGACTAATCCATCAGGAATAAAATGTTAGTGTGTGGAACAGATCAGACAGTTTTCTTCCAGTGTAATGGATTCAAATGTGAATTAAATAATTTTAATTAAAAAAGCCACAAATATTAGCCAAGTAAGGCAATACACCTATGCACAGTAAATAGCACAGAGTAATACATCAGTTTAAAGTTGTACACTATGTTTTCTGTAATCACACAGGTGATCTATTATTACACCTAATCTTCACCATTGGAGATGGAAAATGCTGTGACACTTTCTACAAGATAAAGAATCAGCAAATGTGATTTTTCATTTAAAGAACAGTTATTTTACCAGAATAAAATAAAAATAAATTCATAGAATCAAAGAAGCATAGAATCAACCAGGTTGGAAAAGACCTCTGAGATCATCAAGTCCAACCCTTGATCCAACACCACTGTGGTTACTAGACCATGGCACTAAGTGCCACATCAAGTCTCATCCTAAAAACCTCCAGGGACGGTGAATCCACCACCTCCCTGCGCAGCCCATTCCAATGTCTGATTACTCTCTCTGTAAAAAATGTCTTCCTAACATCCAACCTAAGCAAAAAACAGCTCTTCCAGATTTTGTAGAAATGACAAGATGTTCAAAGCATCAGGGTGCCTCATTTCAAAGATACATCAGAAAAAGGAGAATAGAACTTGCATATAAAATTCAGATATTTCAAACATGGCCAAGAAACATTTTTTTCCTGTTAAAGGTATGGATAAAAAGCTTGTGTAATGGCCCTTCCTGGTCAGGTTGTTCCCATGGAAAGCAGGCATCTTTACAAATATCTAGAGAGACACCAGACATCATAAACAATAGCTCCAAACTCAAGATACTGATTGTGGTTTCCCTTGCTAGAAAGCCAAGTTGCTTCCCATACTGCTGCCAAAAAGCTTGTTTTTCAGGACACCTAAAGGAAATCATACTGCTTTGTCTTTTTTTTTCCTGACCCTTCTTGTGTTTTCTTTTTCCTCTTTGAGTTTTATTAGGTCTTCTCATCCGTCAGAAATATTTTATTCCGTTACTACCCTAATGTTTCACGTGAATAGAACGGAACTCTTGTCTTCTTCAGGTGGGAATTTCAAATTGAGGGTAAATATAACTAATTGTTCCAAGGGAACAAGCTTTTTCACAGCAAACATACCTGAGCTGAATTTCATATTGCCCTGCATGACGAGTCTGCACATTCCTCAGGACCAGTGTGAAGATGTCTTCATTTTGCAGGATTTCACATGCTGTTCCTGGCATTATTTCTTGCTCATCTTTAAACCAGTGAACAGTGGGGAAAGGATCTCCAGCAATGGCACAGGATATAAGGACATTTTGCCCAGGAGCTGCTGTCACTGATCTCGGTTTGCTTATGAACCAGGGCTGAATACCATCCTGGGGTTCTGTAGTTTACAAACACAGATTACAAATCAGAATAAAATGCCAAGCTTGAATGTAACTACTAAGCTAACTAATTTCAGGGAAAGCAGTCACAGGCAAGGAAAGTTATTTTGAACATGCAGGGTATAAGTTTTTAATCTGAAAATAAGTCGGGCTTTAGTTTTGGAAGTAACATGTTAATACCAAAATTAATCATTTACTTGGCACTTTACTGGCTTTATCCAGGCTTATATTAAGAGCAAAACAAAGAGACTTTAAAGCTGCCCTAAAAGGAATCTTGGAGATTTGTCCTTAGAGAATATGGGTAGGAATAGCTTTAAGGGCAAGTAACAGTACTATGACTGCTGTGCAGTTGAGAGATCATGTAGTAAATCATCATTAACAATTCCATAAAATTGCATTTAATATAGAAGATTGACCCCGAGGTTAGATCTCAGGGGGGCTTAGAGGATAGAGGAAGGTCTGAATTCAGAGCAGAAAGTGACAACAGGCTGCAGACCCATCCCTGGAGGCACAGTTTGCTCAAATACTGCAGATAAGATACTTTGCATTAAAAATAATAAAAGTCTCACTGATTTCCAATAATTGTCAGTATACAGCAACATTAAATGAAGTCCATAGCTAAGTAAGCCTGATAGTTATAATTTGCAGCTGCATTTAGCAGAAGTTTTGCACTGTCCCTAGAAATAGGACTCCGGAATGCATTTTTGAAATAGTAACATAATGTTCCAGAGTGAAAAGGTTTTTTTAAAGATGCTTCTGCTTGATATCTTTTTTAATTCAGATGCAGAGACAGAACATGTAGCATCCCTCACAACAAACACTCATGTACTTTAAATAGACACTTGAACAGCACATTAAAATTATTTTAGCACTTTGTAAGGTGAAGAGGAACTTTATACCTTGAACTGTCAATGTTGCCTGGGTTTGACTTTCTCCTACTTCATTCCAGGCTTCACAGGTGTATTTGCCTGTGTCTTCAGGAAACACCTCCTGGATGTAGAGGCTGTACTCATTGCCTTTCTTCTCAAAGTGGAAATCTTCTGTCTCCTGGATTTCTTTCCCATTATGCAGCCAGATAATTTCAGGAGGTGGGTTAGCTGAAAATTATGAAACAACAAAAATCAGAGACACACAAATATGTTGATTAAGAACATTATTAAGGTTGGTAGCTTTTTTTCCCATCTGATTCTGCAATTTCATCTTACAAACATTCAAGACTTTCATTAACTCTTTCAATGCTGTGTAATGTGGAATAGTCTGTCTTTTATTGGTTAAAATACAAATGAATAAGGGAAGCATGTAGACAACAGAGAGGGAGAATGAGTTCTAGATCCCACAAAGGTGGTTATCAAGAGTTTCTGTTACCAAGGTTCATACCAGGACTGCTCTTTTCTGCAGCACTACTCTTATCCCAGCTGACAGGAATTCAGTCTTGTTTGGTTCACAACAAAAGCTGTTACAAGTCCACCAAGACTTAGTTTTAGTTCAACAACAGGACCCAACAATAAACTTATGTTATTATTATATCATTCCAATGAAGAAACACTTGTAGAGGTCTGAACACATTAACACTGGACAATGTTCATCCCCCTGAAGATCATATTAGACAAACCTAGCTTTTAAAGAACCAGTTCCTAGAAATATTATTTCCAAATGCAAAGACACCTGCTAAAAAAGATGGAAAAAACCCACAAACTTTGCAGCAGGATTTAATTTCTTAAAATAATACTGTCCTGTAGCTACGCACCTGATACCTCCACAGTCATTATCACTTGACTTCCATCCATTACTTTGAGGTCAGTCAGGCCTTTAAGGAAGATGGGTGCAAAAGTCTTGTTTAGCTTGGCAGCCTGTGCACTTTCTGCCTTCTTGCTGCTCTTCTTTTCTGTGAAGTTAAAAAAGAATAAAAGGGGTCTTTTAATGGAATTTTCCTGACAAAATGACCCTATATTCAACATGATTTTGAGACAGTGGTTTTGTTTCAGCTTTCAGAAGGTAAAAATAACTGAAACCACCCAATATAGCTGTTTTGCTTTGCCAGTATTCCAGGCAGACAGACAAGAAATGGGAATGGAACTGTCCTTGTTCCAGGAATCCTTTTAAATCATTGTTAAGAGATATCATAGAGTATCATTCAGAAATTACACTCAGTTTCCCAAAACACACAAAGTCAGGTGAAAAAAAACCCCAAACAACCCAACAACTTGTAACCAACAACTCAATGCCTTTTTTAATCACTGCTAAACTCACATTAAATTTTAAGGTTTGTTGCAAGTTCCTATTCTCATGATAGATAAGTTAAAAACATAAACTCACAGGATTACAGGAGTTGCAACTCTGCAAGAAACTACAAAACTTTTGTTTGTTAGATGGTCAGTATTGAATGGTTTTGAGTTCACCACATTCCTCTCCTGTAATTCAATTAGGCAACTGCTGGTGGGAAAGTTTGAAACCTGAGGTTATCAATATATATCCCAAAATAAACTGTTGCATTATGGCTTTTAATTTTTTTTTGTTTTGTTTTGAGGCTGTACAGTCAAATGCTGCGTGCTGGAATTAAATTAATCACTCTTAAAATCTATCTGTGATATGTTATTTCCAGTATCCATCTCTATCTTGGATCCTGAGGCTATGAAGCAAGGCCATTTAACTGTGATCTATGTGGTACACCAGACCAGGAAATTCACTCCTGTTCTAAAAACCTGAGCAAAGAGAGTTGTGAAGCCAAAGTAGTGATCATGACCAAATGCAAGAAGTCATAAATATTTATCGGTCACTTGGATACAGTTTTTGTTTAGCTTGCATTCAGACCTTTTACGTCTTGCCTGTAAAATGCCAACCCTACATTCTATCCGTACATGAAAATAGCTTTATTTTGCTTATTCCTACCTTTAAAATTTTCAAAAGTATACCAAGAACATCCAAAATACTATTACAGCAACACAAAGTTCCAAGCTGGAGAAAAATCATAATTCATAAAATTGGTGATTAGAAAAAATGACAGCACATCACTGAGCAGGCCCACTGAACCTCCCGGAGGCAAAAAGTTAACCTTGTCCCAGGGTAATCTGAGCTCAGTGTAAATTTGGAAGCTGCCTGGAAGGGGAGTTTTTCCTTTTCTCTAGCAAAGCTTTTTCTAGCCAAAATCTTGTCTCGCTGGCTCATGTCATAGGTCTTTTCTTGGCAGTGAGCTTTGAGACATTGATGCATGTGAGAATGGAAACAAGGGACCTGACTGAGACCCACTGGGATCGGTGTTATGGTCCTGCTACTCTGAAGTGCCTGATTCACCATCAGACCACACTGATCAGTCTTAGGGTTTCCCATAGCACCTGCTTGTAAGTAGCTGATGCTTTACAGAAAATAGCCATGAAGTTGGGTGAAAATCTTCTACAGTAATGAACTGCTGTGGTTCACCATATCCCTCTGTTTTGTAATGTTTACTCAGGGAAACAGCTTCAAACAATTGCTGTACTAAGCAATATCAGCACATGCTCCTTCACTGCCCTGATGCCTTGCAGAAAATCCTTTTGTCCCTCAAAGTGAAACAGATCTGTGGGGGAAAGCAGAAACCCACAGAATTGGAAAAAAGGAGGAAAAGAAGATAAAGAAAGCAAGAAAAGGAAAAAAACCCAAGAGAATAGTAGGACAGAAAGATGCATGGGGGAAAAAAAAGAAAAGTAGACTTAAAAAAATATTGTTCCCTTTATCCCTTTTACTGAAATAACTAATAACATTGCAAATCTAGAAGGCAGATATGCAATAAACGGAGAGCAGGGAAAGAAAAAAAAAACCAGAGATGTAGCTCTGGACCAAGAGAAAAACAGGCCTGGGTTCTGATCAGAAAAGTTCCCTGGTTAACAGTGACCAGGGACCAAATTTGCTCGTAGTGGCTCTAGCAGCAATTCTCCCAGACCAGACTGAGCTGCCTCCAGCAGAGCCCTGGTACAAACAGCATTAAGTCTGAGCAGCTCTTCCACATCCCTCCCAACTGGCTCTCTGCTCCATTAGACTGACCTGCCTGTTGCATGTAGTCTAAATAAACAGATTTTTATATTCTAGGAAGACAATACAGTATAACAGCCTCAGCTTATTAAAAAGATATGGGTGAGCAACTGCAGAAGGAAAATCATTTCCCAAAAGGAATTTTTCAACAATGCTAACTCCTCCAAAATATGTGCTGCAGAAATGAAAGATTCATGTACTGGAATAAAATCATCTTCTCGCACAGAGCTGCAGAAACATCAAATGGAAGCAAGCAAATAATTCACAGTAATTGCATATATGAATCACAAACCCAACAAGTTTTCAAAAAATGTTAGGCCTCAATTTTTCTAAGTTGTCTCACGCAGATGTTGGTGAGGAGACCTATTGATATGAGTGACATTATGAAGATTTACTGGGGCCACAGGCCTCTACCCCTAAAAGAGTGACCTGCAGGATTAAAGGATGAAAACCAACTCACCATTTTTACTGATCAGTGCTCATACTTTGTAAATGAAGCTGTCAAATTGAAATGAATCTGTCTCACCGTTGCCCAAAACGTAAAAAAATAATAGTGCTTACACTAAATTTAAGCACTGCATAGGTTTGTGCTGATCTCCTGGATGAAGACCAGTTCTGTGCTTAAACAGAAACTTATGACGGCAAGTATCAAAACACCAGAAGTCTGTGGTACGTGAGCAGTAAAAAAACGTAAAACAACACAGCTTAAACAGTACAAAAAAAGTTACTGGAGAGACAAAAGAACTATTTCAATAGGGGAAACTCAATGTAATCACGCAGAAGAACATTAAGATAGATTATTAAGTCTGAAATATTGAAAACTTGAGGCTTAGTCCCGGGACAGAAACAAAAGCAATTTTCTGAAGGTATTCCTATCCTTGTAAACCTACCGTATACAAATGTACATAAACTTTGATTTAGTCCTTGAAGTATTACCTGATTTCTCAATACCTACTGTAAAGCAGGAATGAAAACATCTCCCTGTCTGTTGCTGATGTTCTTCGGAGCACAGGGGCAGTGAAGGCATTTTTTACCAATGGATACGAAATCTGTTGTACGTAAGAGCTTGAAAATTAGAAGCTATCACGGCTGAGGCAACCAGTACTCCTAATCAAACAGGTGACATCCAGGATACAGAAAATATATGTCTAACAAGTCTGATTCCATGGCAACTTGAATAGGCTCTCTTCAAAACACAAGAATTCTCCCCTACTTTTGAAATCTTTATTTTTATTGGGGATCTTTTATCCTATACTACTGTTGTTCAGAAGTGTATATTCATCAGTAGCATATGTTTATTGAACAAACAACTTAATCAAAATATCACAAAAGCAGTCCAGTGTTTCTCAACTTGGCAGCAACAATTAAAAAGACTTTCATTCTAAGCCATAAATGCTATTTGTTCATTAAGAAACCACAGGGGATCATTTCATGTAACATTTCTTGCTTTGCTTAAAATTTGATATTGTGGACTTCTAGACTTAGAAAAAAATTGGAATTACTACTGCCAACTTTAGTTTCTCACAGATGTTTTACACAAGACAACACAGTCAGTTTTAAATATGTTATTTAGTTTTATTTAGTTTTAATCTAAAATCACTGCATTTTCTCCGAAGGGACAGATACAATCATGCAAAGGCCATATTACAAAGACTGAATGTTAACTATTTTCAAATTCTTCTGAAGCTTGTAAATGCTTTTAGTTGTTTATTTATGACATAGCACCACGCAGTGACTCAGTGTTTGTCTGATGAAGGCTTTAACATTTCACAATTTAACAATGAAATAGCAGTGCTGTACATTTTCACAGATTATTTTAATATAAGGGTTTTTAATACAAGGGTTTCTTCAATTTTAACCTTTACAGGTCTTGTTTGGAAAAACAGCAATCAAATTGATTTTGGAGGGACAAGAAGGGACGCTGCTTATTCAACATTAAGCAAATAACTCCCATTCCCATTTATGCTGAAAAGATACTGCATGATTTTACTTCCTTTTGAAAACACCTGGCTAATTATTTTGACAGAAAAATACTACAAGGAAAACCATACACAAAACCCCAGGAACTGTTTGCAAAAGGGTAGCTTCAGAAAGTGCAACAACCACAGAAGTTCACATTCCCTGGCCACATATAGGTGCTTGCTATTATCATACACTAGGAACAAAATCTGTAAACCAGGAAAATAGTGTGCAATCAGATCAGAAAAACAGGACACAAATAAGCAAGCTGCTAACAACAGGTCAGTATTAGGATTGCTTTCCCCTGGTCCTCTAAAGTCCCTTTCACCACATGAACTCTGCTGGGGTTCAAAATCCAAATGTTCTCAGTGAGAGCTGGCTTCAGAGCCCATGGGAGGAGGAAAGAAGAAAAAGAAGAAAGCAGAGGTAAAGTTCCCAGCTCAGATACTGCAAGTCACTATGCTTCTGGCTGAAACATCCCCTTTCAGAACACTGCAGGGTATTTTTGCTGCCAAAACTACAGACAATAAAAATGCAGCATATCTGGCACCAGAAAGGAAATCTGGAACGTAAGGAAAATTTAGTTTGACATTAGCATAAGGGTATGACTTCATTATGTATCTACACATCCTCAAGCTTATTCAACTGGATGTGAAAAAGAGGAGATCCGATCTCTCTCTTCCTATTATGTTAATGCTCTCTAATCGCCTATAGCCATTTAACAGCTCCCTCATCACTCTTACTTCTTATTGCTTTCAAGGTTCACCTCTAAGAATGAAAACAAGGAACATAAGAGTCAACACAGAGTGACTAAAAAATTCTACCCCAGGCAGGTTATTTTCTCCCTCCCTTTCCCTTCCCCAATCAACTTCTGCTGGTGGACTCAATTCCCCCCACTTGGATCATGTCAAGGCACTTCAT